TGACAGCTCGTCGGCCGTACGGTTGAGCAGACCCGGAATGTGAATGGCACGAAGTGACCTCAGAACCTTCTGACTCCAAAGGAGGAGGTGGCGGGCGAGTTGCGACATGCGACGGGAGCGCAGACCACCTTGTCGGTTAATGTACGCAACGGTCGCTGTGTTGTCCGTTCGGACCAGCACGTGTTTGCCCCGTAAGCGCCCTTTGAGACGGTTCAAGGCAAGGCGCACTGCTAACAACTCTAGGCAATTGATATGCCAGTGCAGATGGGGGCCCGTCCAAACCCCCGACCCTGTGTGCTCATTGTATGTGGCCCCCCAGCCGGTTGTGGAGGCATCCGTGTAAACCACAGCATGCCTGGAGACCTGTTCTCGGGGCACTCCTGCCCGGAGGAATGTAAGGTCTGACCACGGGGTGAAGGTTTGGCGACAGGCCGGTGTAACTTGGACCCGGTGAGTGCCGCGTTGCCACGCAAGCGCCAAGTCCCTGTGCTCGCATAACTGATCCCGAGACTGTGCTAGTATAAGCCAATCGTCGAGATAGTTGAGGATGCGAAGACCCTGCTCTCTGAGGGGAACGAGAGCCCCCTCCGCGACTTTCGTGAAGACACAGGGAGATGGCGGACAGCCCAAAGGGCAGGACCTTGTACTGGAATGCACGTCCCTCGAACACGAACCACAGAAATGGTCTGTGGCGCGGAAGGATCGACACATGAAAGTACGCGTCCTTCAGGTCGATCGCTGCAAACCAATCTCTGGTTGCACTGATGCACCCGAAGATGCGTTTCTGCGTCAACCTCTTGAACGGTAACCGGTGCAGGGCCCGGTTCAAGACACGCAGGTCCAAGATTAGCCGTAACCCACCGCCTTTCTTGGGTACAATGAAGTAGGGGCTGTAAAACCCCGTACTCATATCGACTGGAGGGACCGGCTCCATCGCATCCTTTGCCAGTAGGACTGCGACCTCCGCACGCAAGACAGAAGCATCGGCCACCTTCACTGTCGTGAAGCGGATGCCAATAGCAAGACCCACATCGTCTTTACAAAGACGTAACGTCGAGTTTGCCACGCAACGTCGTCAGAAAACGCACCCGTGAATGCTCTTTTAGGGACCAACGGAACCACCGCCGTACCCGCAGTGGGGCAGCGAGGTGGAACGCAGGGACCCAATGCGGACGGCTTGTGAGCAGACCGAAGAGGGGTCTGAGTGTGCGGTGCAGCACTTACCTTGTTCCACAGTTTGGCAGAGGGTGCGTGAGTAGGGCCTTTGTTGACGCTCTCGAACCGCCCACTGCTGCCTGCTGGCGACAGAGGATGAGTGCGGTCCGGGGTTGAACCGTCCGCAACTCTCCGTGCCCTCTTGAGACCCAGAGACAGTGAAAACTGCTCTTTTGTCGAGAATTTGGGTACCGTCAACCGCCCGGCCCTCCTCCGGGGGAGGGAGTGGTGCGTTCACCATCTCCCGAAGAGCAGATCCCTCCATCTCTGGGTCGCCCGTCTCAGGGCCGCTTGCTGCCAGGTTTGGCGGAGGCCTGGATGGGCTGGGCGGCCTGCCTACGCCCGGCTCCACGGCGCTGCAGGATGGCTGCACGGGGCGGACGCGGACGCAAGGGGCCACCCTTGGCGACGAGCATGCTGGGGCGCTGCGGGCGGCCGGCGGGCGGGTGGAGGCAGCAGCTGCCCGCTGGGGCAGGATGTGTCGAATCGCCTCAGTCTGCTTCTGTGCAGCCGAGAACTGCTGGGCACACAGGAGCATTAAGGAACCGAACCTTGTCGGCGTCCCTCATGTCGGCCAGACACAGCCAGAGATGGTGCTCCTGGACCACAAGTGTGGACATCGCACGACCCAGAGAACCCGCGGTGACCTTCGACGCTCGGAGCGCGAGGTCAGTGGCGTTTCGGAGCTCTTTCAGAACCTCAGGATCGTGACCTCCCTCGTGCAGGTCCTTCAGTGCCTTGGCCTGGTGCACCTGCAGTAACGCCGTGTAAGGCGGAAGCAGCTTCCCCGCAAGCCGTATAAGCACCGCCGGTCAGACCAGACGAATGCATACAGGCCTGGGAAGGGAGCAACGGGTCTCCCCCGCCAGGAGGAGGCAGTCTTAGGACACAACTGCATCGCTACTGACTGCTCCACTGGGGGGATCGCCGAGTACCCATAACATTAAAAAAACTTGTAAAACAAAACAGTTGTCTTAATGTGCTGATTAATCATGTATTTTTGTGTAGTTGTCATGTAGATTTGTGGTTTGTATTTTCCAGGCCGTATGTCTATGCTGTCCACTCAGAGCAGCCGGATACATATGGACACATCCTGGGTCCGCTGAGCAACGAGGTGAAACCCACACACACACACACACACACACACACAGAGACTTTGATTAGTGTGTGAGACATTTAGAGGAGTGTAAATATGACGTGTGTGTGTGTGTGTGTGTGGCAGCTGGATAACACTCTCAGGAAGATCGATAACATCATCGGTCAGCTGATGAACGGCCTGAAACAGATGAACCTCCATCGCTGTGTGAACGTCATCCTGGTGGGCGATCATGGTACGGCTGCACTCACACACGTGACGCATCACGTGATCTCTGATGTTCTAGCACAGAAACACACACACGTACGTTCACGTACAGTGGGCCTAAAGTCAAAAGTCCACACTGAAAATTTGTTACTCTCAAACAGACTCAGATCCAACACCATCATTTAAATGGACTTCTCACAGCGAATGTTCAGTGCCTTTGTGTGTGTGTGTGTGCGTGCGTGCGTGCGTGTGTGTGTATGCGTTCAGGAATGGAGGAGTCTCATTGTGAACGAACAGAGTATTTGAGCTCTTACGGACTGGATGTTGATGCTATCACACTGATCCCAGGATCCTCCGGAAGAATCGGCCCCAAAAACGCCAACTCACCATGTGAGTACACACGTTTATCTCACTTAAAGGGATAGTTCACCCAAAAATGAAAATTCTGTCATTATTTACTCACTCTCAAATTGTTCCAAACCTGTATGAGTTTCTTTCTTCTGATGAACACAAAAGAAAATATTCTGAAGAATGCTGGGAACCAAACCGCTGCTGGTAGACATTGACTGTCACGGTATGGAAAAATGATGACAGAATTTTCGTTTTAGGGTGAACTATCCCTTTCAATGTGGTAATGAAGTAGTTTACACCCTGCATATACACAAACTCTAAAAACATACGTTTCACTTACACATGTGTACTTCTAAAACCTTCACACAGCTGATTTCAGTGCCTTGTTTCTTCATGTTTCAGATGATCCGAAGGAGATTGTAGCTAATTTAACAGTAAGTCCATCAATCGCATCCTTCAGACAGACTCACTGTTGTGTTTGTACATGGTGCTGCATTTGACCTTTGACCCGTTTCCAGTGTAAGATGCCCAATCAGCACTTCAAGCCATACCTGAAGCAGCACCTGCCCAAACGCCTGCATTACGCCAACAACAGACGCATCGAAGACGTGCACCTGCTCATGGACAGGAAGTGGCATGTGGCAGTGTGTGTGTGTGTGTGTGTGTGTGTGTGCGTGCGTGTGAGTGTGCGTGCACTGTAGGCATAGTTTAAGACACATTCACATCTAAAATGAGAGAAATCTAGCACAAATTCATTCATTTATTCTAGTTATATATATATATATTCTAGTCTATATATATATATATATAGAGAGAGAGTGAGATGTGACTTTAGTGATGTTTCATATGTGTTGTTTGAGAGCAGATCTCCTGCTACCTGCGGCTTCTTTGGAGATCATGGCTTTGACAACAAGATCAGCAGCATGCAGGTAAATCAATCAGTCAATCAATCTGTACAGGAATCTGTCCATCAGTCCGTCTTCTCATTGTTGTGTTTTTCTCGCAGACGATCTTTCTGGGATTTGGACCGGGCTTCAATTTTAAGACAGAAGTGCCTGTTTTTGAGAACATCGAGCTGTATAACGTCATGTGTGGTGAGAAAATGCTGCCGGGTTTCTTAAAATAGTTTTAGTTTATGAGAATCGTGAGTTCTCTACAGGTCAGTGGATTGAGTCTCTTCTCGTTCACAGAACAACATTGAAGAAAGTTCCCAGAGGTTTCCTTCCGCTGCCGACGGACTGTTGAACAGTTAAGATCCGTTTCACTTTCACATTCATGTTCACACACTTCAGTGACCGGTCATGTGATCAAACAGGCGGGAAATATTTGTGTGTGTATGCAGTACAATATAACCTAAAATATGTATGTATTGGGGTTATTATAGCTAACTAAAACTAAAACCACAAAAAGGTTTTTGTCACTTTAAATAAAATGTTAAAATTAAAAAGTTTAAAATTTATTTAAAATAGTTGCCGTATTTTAGTTTATCTTCTACTAAATAAAATAAAACTAATAAATAAAAATTAATAAAACTATATAGACATACACAAAAAACTTTAAGTGCCACGCATGTATCTATGTGTGTTATCTATTTAAAATAATAAATAAAAGTTAATATAAACTATATAGACATGTTTAAAAAAAACGGACAAAGACGAAACAAAAAAAAAAACGAGAGGAGAGAGAGAGAGAGAGCAAGGCCTTTAGTGAGAGCTCACAACAAATGCAAAGAATGGATTGAAATATTTATAGTAATGATGCATTTGAAAAATAAATCATCTAAATTCTTTGTATTATTATTAATACTCAGATTTTGAAAGGACTGTGGATTTGAACATCCTCTCTGTCGCCATCTGTGGTCGAAACACTAAACTACATGAGTCACTTACGCAGTAGTTATTTAAGGCCCGGGTTGGCTAACATCATTGCCTGTGCATTATCATTTTAAAAATCGTTGTTACTTGAAATACGTTACTTACAGTTTGTTTGTGGGTTTTACAAATATTTAACGAAAGCAAAGCATTCCAAAGAGCCTGAGACTGAACCTCGTAACTCACCCGCCTGGATCTCTGCTTGTTTGCAATGCAAGGGTAAATAAAGAACGGATGTTTTTGTGTGTTTGAAGAGCGCAGAAGAGTTAGAGTTGTAGCCTTGTAGCCACTTTTGTACGTTTGCATAGAGGTTCATCTTTTACATCAAGAGACTTTGGCCAAATGTATTAAACCGGAAGAAAATCTGAGCTCCCATGCAGCTACAATAAACGTTATGAGCTGAAAGTTGATGAAAACGTAATGCGATGCACTCAGATGAACTCTATTTGAGCTTGATTTTCATAACATGTTTAGTGCAAGTGTCTGATCATATATGAAGCCAGAATACTAACTCTGACGACGCAGTGTTTAATTATTAAAAAATAAATAAAAATTCCCCCCATTTCTATCTTTTTTTTGTTGCTATATTTCAGTGCTTAGTGGTGTGAAAAAGGTTGGGAAACACTGCCCTACAGGACAACAATAAGTGCCTTTTACAACTATACATATTAAAAGCAGCTAGTCAGATGACTAGTTTAAATTCTATGCAACTGTATTTCTGTTTATGGACGTGTTGCATCATTTCCCAGAAAATATAACTTAACAGCTTAAATTATAAATGTGACCCTCGACCACAAAACCAGTCTTAAGTGTCAATTTTAATTGAGATTTATACATCATCTGAAAGATGAATAAATAATCTTTCCATTGATGTATGGTTTGTTAGGATCGGACAATATTTGGCTGAGATACAACTATTTGAAAATCTGGAATCTGAGGGTGCAAAAAAATCTAAATATTGAGAAAATCATCTTTAAAGTTGTTCAAATGAAGTTCTTAGCAATCTTAGCAATGCATATTACTAATAAAAAATTAAGTTTTGATATATTTACAGTAGGAGATTTACAAAATATCTTCATGGAACATGATCTTTACTTAATATCCTAATGATTTTTGGCATAAAAGAAAAATCTATAATTTTGACCCATACAATGTATTGTTGGCTATTGCTACAAATATACCTGTGCTGCTTAACACTGCTTTTGTGCTGCAGGTCACAAATCATTAAATAAGCATACCGCAGTCAAATGGGGGTAAAAGGAGACTGATTTTTTTATGTACTTGCTCAGTAATTGATTCTTGTTCATTTTTACGTTTAGATTTATGCATTCAGCAGATGCTTTTATCTAAAGTCAGTTCATCAAAGAGCCAACACTAGTTGAAATGCACAATGCCGGGTTTATTAGCCACCTAGGCACCTAGTAAGCTAAAGAAGAGGTGAAATGCAGCTTTTCAGAAGTGCACCGTTTTATGTATTATTTTAGTGAGGAATTGATTGATTGATTGTGCTGGCAGAATGAATGAATGAATCTCTTGAGCGTGTGATTCTGTGATGTTTTTGATCGTGTGTGTATGTGTGTGTGTGTGTGTGTGTGTGCAGACGTCACACACCTGGCGTTCGGCCGTCCAGCCGTTCTCTTCCAGACGTCATACACACAGCTGTGTCACTCGGATTACTGCAGCGGCTTCAGTCACGTCATCAACATGCCGCTGTGGAGCGCCTTCACACTCACAGCACAGGTGCGCAGAGCGCCGTGAACGCGTGTGTTTGTCTGAGCCGCGGCGCGACACTCATTGTGTGCGTGTGTCTGTGTGTGTGTGTGTGTGTGTGTGTGCGCAGGTGGAGGCTCCAGCCGTGTCGTCCAGCGAGTGTGTGAGAGCAGACCCTCGTCTCGATCACACACACACATGTAACACGTACAGCCAGGAGCCCGATGTCACACACGCGTTCCTCTACCCGCCGGGTCAGTCACACACTTCTGTTGATCTGAAATCAAGATGTTATTTCACTGAAATGAGCCTCTATGATGTCTGATTTAAGACAAGACACTGCAGGTGAATACGGTTAAAACAGTGCTGATTATTATGTTTAAACATGCAAAAAGGCATGATTTAATTAAACATGCACTAATTTGCATACATTTACAGAATGGAAATCTGAACATCAGTTTATAATTCCTGTGTGATTTTGTCGTCATATTAGAGTTAAAGGTTTTTCCAGAGGGGATTCTGGGATTACTCTTTTTATCATAAATCAGAAAATACTGTCAGCAGACAGAAACCAAACTCATTTTCACCATGTTTTCAGGAGTAAATCAGTGTGAATGAAATATGAACAAACCTTCAGAATATAGAGAGGAATAAAACTGTAAAGTTTGCTGTTAGTAATCATCATAAATTATACATCATTTGAACATATCATTGGAAAGGTCTGAGTCTCAAGATTCCATATTTGGTGTTTATTTTGTGATAGTGACAGAAATGTAGACATTTGTGACAGAAAAATGCATAAAAAAAAATTCAATGGCGTTTGGGTGTCACCCGGTGGCTGTTTGTGGTATAACGCCCTAAATAAAATCTCAATTTTTTTTTATATCAACTTCAAATTTGGAACACAACTTATTTAGACATAAAGCTTTAATTTTATAGCAATTTCAGATTAAATCCTGTTATGAAAAAAATATTTTATATAAAATAAAAAAAATAGTACAGTGCATTTTCTTTACAGTAAATTTAAACTTCAATAACTTTTTTGATACTTTCATATTTTGGAATAATTTCACTTCTGCGATAATTTGCTGATTGTCTTCTTTAAAAAAGAGTCCAACATTAGGTCTGTATTCAAAAAGCATATTCGTGCATTATAACAATTTAAGTTTGGATAGTGCACTTTCACGTCTATGTTAAGGGTTAAAAATACGGATTGATGGTGAAATCTACAGACGCAAATACATAAAGTGCAATAAAATAAAGACTTAAAAGTGTATTTTGCATGCTTTCGACTAGTCTGAAAACAGACCAAAAAACTGTCCCAGTGCATGAAAACACAAAGGTTTGCCTGTATTGTCTTCGCTCAGGATGGTTTACAGATAAATCTGATGTCTGAATGACTGCTGCTGATCTCTGTAGATTTCTCTGCTGCGGCTGAATCCAGATATGAAGCTTCACTCATCACAAACACGGTTCCAATGTATCCCGCTTTCAAGAGTGAGTCCTGAGCTGCTAAATATATTTATTCACAAATGCATGAGCGGCAGATGCACAAAGTTTTGCTTCTAGAGTCAAAGCGTTGAGTGTGTGAAAAATTAGCTGGAGAGAAAACTCATATCTGATTGGCTAAAAATAAAGGCCATTTTAAAAAGCACAGTGAATAGGTACGAAACACACACAACGATCTACAAATGCAGATTTAACCATCAGTGCACGTAAAATCAGAAATGTGCAAGCTTGCGTTTGCGAATATGAATTAGGTGAGTTTGTGAATTGCTGTTTGCAAACATGAACTGTTTTGTGCATGTGAATTAGCTGATGCATTTGTGAAGTATATTTGGTAAAAACACATTTTGAGGCTACGTGTATTTTAGCTCCATTCACTGCTGGAGTTCACACACAACAACATGAGACTGAAAACATGAAACATTACACATAGGAATAAATGTGTTGAGAAAGAAATGAGACTAAATAAACGTGTGTGTGTGTGAGAGTGTTAATGGTTTGTGTGTGTGTGTTTGTGCGTGTCTGTGTGTGCGTGTCTGTGTGTGTGCGTGTGTGCATGTTTGTGAGTGTGCGTGCGTGTGTGTGCGCGCGTGTGAGTGAGTGTGCGTGTGTGTGTGTGTGTGTGTGTGTGTGTGTGTGTGTGTGTGTGTGTGTGTGTGTGTGTGTGCGTGTGTGTGTGTAGAGGTGTGGAGTTTCCTGCAGAGAGACGTCCTCAGGAGATACAGTCTGGAGAATAATGGCATAAATGTGATCATGGGACCCATATTTGACCATGACCACGACGGGCTGAGAGACACGGAGGAGATGATCAAAGAGTGAGACCCTTATTAACATGTTTAAAATTAAATTATTAATAATATAAAATTCTTATTTTAGCATATTAAATATTATTGAATTATTTAAATTATAATTTTTTTAACACAGAGAAAGAGCTGCAACGTCAGTGACACACACACACACAGATACACACACACTCACAGACACTCACAGAGATACACACACACAGATACACACACACACACACAAATACACACACACAGACCTGCAACTTCAGTGAATCACACACAGATACACACACACACACAGAGATACACACACACACGTGTGAGAAGTGTGAAGTGTTTGTAAGATGTTCTCCTGTGCATATAAATATGAATAATGTGCATAATTATTATTAGTGAATAAGATGCAGTGTAGTTTATTTTGATCATGTATGTCTGAGGTTTGACCAGCAGATGGAGACATTTAGCATCTAAATAAAACCAGACCACAACACACACACACACACTCACACACACTCAC